CAAGAAAGCGAACTCGAAAAGCTTGAATACCTCAAGAAAGTGATAAAGGAATCGCTGCGGCTAAGACCTGCTGCCCCACTCATTCCACGAGAAACGACTCAGCTATGCGAAATCCGAGGATATATCATCCCTGCAAATACCCGTGTTGTCTTCAACGCTGCCGCCATTTCCACAGACCCAAATGTTTGGGAGAGACCGCTAGAGTTTTGGCCAGAAAGGTTTGACGGAAGCAGAGTGGATTTCAAGAAACGAGAGTTTGAGTTTTTGTCCTTTGGATCGGGGAGGAGAAAGTGCCCGGGGTTCAACTTCGCAATGGTGGTTGTGGAGCTTGCTTTGGCGAATCTCCTCCACTGTTTTGATTGGTCATTACCGGATGGAATGAAGGCCGAAGATATTAACATGGATGTGGCGGTTGGACTCACGGCACATAAGAAGGAGGCACTTCGCCTTGTTGCTAAACCAAAATGGTGAAGAATACATGTTATATGGGTTACAAGTATGCAAATGCATTATCATGGAAATATAAAGTCATATTGTCCTGTTGTGCTTATTTTATTTGGTTCCATAAAGAGATTTATATGAATTCCGGTTCATGCATTGCAAATTTATGCTCATCATATTCTTTTTATTAAGCATTAAACTTGATAAACTATTTCTTACGCCAACATTGGGCTTGACCAAATTTTAGATTTGCACTATATGTTTATATAACTTGAATACAAAAGCTTATTTCTATCTAATCAAATGAAAAAAAAAGCTGTTGTTGACATTATATTATTCCTTTTTTATTAATTAAAAAATAAATGGTTTAATTTTGATAGATTGAAAACTAATAAAAATATAAAAATATAAATACAAATCATTCTATATATCATAACCATAGCCCTAAAAATATTCAAACAAGTACAAATGCTCAAAAATATCAAACATCAATGTAATCATAATAATAACGATAATAATGATGGACTTCTCGACATATTACAATTTAAGGAGGGAATTATAGGGGTTGGCATTAGATTGGAATTGAAAGTTACAAATTAAGTTGAATAAACTCATCATACATATGAAATCTTCCTATCATCTCATATTTGTAGAGTCAACATCATCAAAATTTAGTATATCATAACATTCAAATATCATCAAATTGACTCAAAGATTGACTCCTTGAAGTCAACAACATTACATGTTGCAGCTCCTCGTTAACAAAATACAGTCATATAGCAATAATAGCTAAACTTTACTTTTTATGCATTTATACCACCCAAATCTTTCTTATCACATAAAAAATACAGCCTTTTTAAATTTTAATAGAATGAAGTGCACCTTTTCTTGCATAGGGAAGTTGGTTTTATGTATGACTTTCATAAATAAAATGCTCAAGAGTTAAGATTTCTTATACACGATTTCTTGACAAACATATTATGTCATACACAAAGCATATGCAAGATGAAGCCAATTATATTTTAACTAGGAAAACTTTTTCAAACAATTTCAGGAAAGTGAACCAGAAGATTGATCCTTTAACTTTGATTTTTTTTGAATCTTGATTTGTCTGTAAATCACACCTAAGGATTAGAGCTTAAAACGAGAGAGAGAGAGAGAGAGAGAAAAAAAGAGAAATATTAATGAAGATAAAGAGAGAGAGAGAGAGAGAGAGAGAGAGAGGGTACAATATAATAAATCAACAATAATAAGTCTAATTATTGATAAATCTTTCTCAAAAAATGAACTTTGTATTTATAGAGGAGGGGGTACAATATATGAAATTACATGTTTGCCCCTGCTTTAATGGGAGTGTTATAGGATATTTTAGGTTTTTTACATGTATGGACCAACAAGTTGGCTATCCTCTGACTCGGTAAGTTGAACTTGGTGGGCCTTAGTGTGACAAGGCCTGCTAGTTTGACTATATTGAATCAGATCATAGGTCGATCTTTGTGGTCTTTGGGTTGGCAGGCCTACTTTGTCGGCCAGAAATTATCAATCGATTTGAGCTCTCATGGCTATCGATACTTGATCCTTGAATGAGGAGCTCTTAGAACACTCAATCGAATAAGAGACAACCTCCAAATGCAAGAGAGAGACCTTAGATCTCCTAAAACCATCCTTATTATCGTTAGGGTTCCAAACACCTCTACACAACCTTCCAAAATTATCATTCTGCGTAATTGAGCGCTCCACACTGAGGAGTGTCACAATTATGCTGTTGTCTGGCATAGGTGTGCTCGGGACTCTGCCTTCGGAAACCTGGGTGTTTAGGAATGGTGCATGAGCACCTAGTCCACCAGTTACAGGCACCTGAGTGCCCAGGACAGACGCGTAGATGCTTGATCCTCTGGTTCCGGGCACCGGGTGCCAGTTCAACCATTTTGGAGCTTGTCTCACCCGAAGTTAGCTTGACACCTCTGTCATGCAATACACAATCAACACACCTCTGACAAGCATAAAACCATCATAAACATGAATAAAAAATGTACTTCATAGCATAAATAAACTACATTTTACACTCACATCGTTGTTACTAACAATGTGAATTCTTCTCCACTATTGTGCTATTTAGAAAACTACAATGGTCCTTAAGAAATCAATGTAATTCCTTGCATTAATAATTTTTTTTACATACTTAAAGTCAAAATAGTGAAATCATAGTTGTATTTTCCTACATTAACATAGATATTACAGAATACCAACAACTTAATAAAAATCTTAGGTTACTACAAGAAAAGAATAAGATTAAAAAAAAAAAAAACTCCCTCCCTCACATATTGAGTAAATATAACTTGCGCCATGTCTTGCTTTAAATCTATTACATCTTGCATTCTTTTCTTGAATCTCATTATAAACATTTGTAGCAACTCTCCACGCTCTCAACTCATCATTAATAAGGCATAGGAATTCTTCAATGGATTTTGAGCTTTAACAAATTGGTTATTGAATATCATTTCAAACTCATCAACCATAGGTGAGAATCTTTTAAGTGTAATGTATGTAAATATGAAAGTTTAGATGTTTTATATGTAAATATATAGAAGTTGTGTGATACATATGTAAATGTCCAATTATATTATCATGTTGTACCGATAATAACACAAGAAGTTACTTATATGGTGATTTATAACCGGGGTGATGGCAACATTTGCATTGTTTTAAGGATTTTCATTTAATGGTAAATCAAGTTTAGTAAATACAATAAACCATTCTTTCTACAATTGGTGCTTTTGATGAAGATGTATGATAAAAATAATAAAATGAACACATCGTTAATCATAATTAAACCTAATTGAAATAATCAAAACTACCTTTTATAAACAACCCGGAATCATTTTCAAAAAGAAGCCAAGACAAAATAAGAAAACATACAAATTGATCCATATGGCATCCATAAAATATGAGCTAGATGTAATAATAATGTAAAAAACATTTAAATATGCCCTCTGATATTTCTAATGTCAACCATAGACCTCCCTGGCTATGATATGTAGCCAAATGCCCATTTGTAACGAATTAAATTGTAGTGGTATTTTGGCCCGTACCGACTTAAAAAAAGACAGTCATTTGTAGAATCCAAATGTTAGTATTCTATTTCCATGAAAAAGATAATATTAAAAATTACAACTCACATCGAACAAAAAATTTGGACAAGGAGCACTTGTTAAATAAAGTCAAAATATTCATATAGCACCTTTACTAGATTAAACATTTTCTACATTTTTAATTTAAAATAGTCTTATAAGCATATACAAAAAAAAAAAAAAAAAAAAAAAAAGTTTGTATTAAATCACTTATATTTTTATGCAGCATTATATAAAGAGTAAGTGATCCATTATTTATTTATTATTTTAAGAAAGTTATGATATATTTTTTATAGGAGTAAGTGCTAAAATAGTTTGACCACTTAGTCTCAGAGTTTATATTAATTTCCGACTATTTTAAAATTGAGCTATAGTAGTTCTCAATGAGAATTATTTTAGGCTCAACTTAGGATTTGTTTGGGACAGCTGCAGCTTCTTAGCTTTTCAGCTGTAGCTGCGCTGCCCAAGAAAGCTGCTGCGAGGAAGCTGACTGTCTGTTTGTTTCAGTTGCGCGTTGGGGCGCTGCGAACAAAACGTCGCCACAAACGGAGGAGATTCGCGGGGGGAAGTCGTGCCGCGCAAAAAAATCCGCCCCAAACGGGCCCTTAAAGAGTCTATTATTTTGATACTTTTATATGGGTTTAAAGTGGCTTTGAAGAATATATACTTAATTTAATTTAAGATATATAATTTAAATTTTGAAAATAATATTTTAATTTTAAAAAGTGAGGCAAGATAGATCTCATTCATTTGATATTTTAATTAATTGAACACAATAACACAAATGATACACCTTCTTGAAAGGTAAGCGCATTGCTTTTTAGCAGGCTTAGTTATTTAAACTAGGAAATTTATGGCTCTTATTTGGTCTGCAGAATTTATGACCGACAATTCATCGATCTAATATAAAGTTTAGACAGAGTTTAGATTATCTGGGTTACTAATCTCAAATAGGGCAAGCCCTTATAATTAATTACATCTTAGGCAACCAAAGTCACCTAAGAAAACTCTCGATTAAGATCAAGAGTTTCGTCTTCAAGAATTCATAGTTAAGTTTCATGACTGGTTGTGGGAAAACCAAGTGAGGAGAGCTCAAGTATGAATAGTTATTTTGGGGAGCAAAGGAGCGAGAAGTAGGGGATATCACAGATTATGATGAGAGCCTCAATGACTTCCCAAAACATTGTATTGTTCGGTTTTTTATTTTGGAAGTGATTTTATTTGATGTTTATTCCTGTCATTTTAATTATACTTTAGGGCTTACACTTGCACAAAACTCAATCATGCAAGTAGCACTAGAAGATAGGAGGATTTATGTCACACCGAACGAGCGACCTCAGAATCCTAAAAAGAGTCAGGGCTTAAATCACATGACATACAATCGTGTGAAGGTCTAAAAGATAGTGTGAGAATTTATATCGTACTAGAAATACAACCTCAAAGCCCTTAGGGTTCATGTTATTCAAGTCTATGGAAGGTTTAGTTGAGGATCATCCTTCGCTTCATGTTTTGGTCTTGATCGTCGCCCGAAGGTTGTCTACCGCTTGATTGTGTTGTTTTGCTTCATGAAGAGTTTGCTTTGGGCCCCTCATTGTGATGTTTTTGGGTCCCAAAAAGTGAGTTTAAATTGATGATTATCGGTTATTGTTGGTTCGCAAGGTTTTGTAGCAAGGTTTCTTCAAAACAGATGACCTACTGTTCTCTACCTTAGGGATCTTTTATATGTATGGTAAATTATACATAAATAGGATACATATAAGAAAATACAGTAAAGAAAGTGTAGTAAAAGAGAAATTAATAGCTCGTACTTGCCACCTCTGATGATATTAAAACTATCACAAGCATCATGTATTTAAAAATTCAAATATGAAATATATAAGCATGCATCTTTGTATGAAA